GAAATCCAAGAAAGACCAACTTCAAAGGAGAACACAGCTTTAGATACCATCCTGAACAATTCTAATTTTTCGCATTTAAAAAAAAATTTCTTCTTAATCGAAGAGTTCAAAATAAAATGCATAGGAGATCAATCAAGAATCAATATTAATCCAGGTTCATATTGGCCAGCTTCAAAATCTCTAACAATTTCAAACAGTCTAATCATAAAAAATTTTTGCAACAAAGAAAAATCCAAAACGCAACAACCAAACTATGCAAAGCTAAGCACCTTAAAGAAATGAACCACACGAGAATGAAGCAAACATGGAAAATGGATATACAGTAATACCTTCTACGACATATATTGTAACACAAGTATCCAACAAGAAATTACAGATCACTAATAGCTCTGACAACAAAGTAAATATAAAAAAGATCAAACAATACAAAGATAAAAAAACAAAATGTCTCGATTTAAAATAATAGTGGAACTATAGAAGCATTTCAAATAAAACGATAGAACTGACCAGACTATGCCTATATATTATACGATTTAGAAATATAGTTAGGTAGGATATTGGAGTGAGTCGGGATAAGTATGCATTCAGTTTTTTCTTATTAGAAGTTTCTTATTCCTATAGAGTAATTTTAATATTATTTTAATATTTAATAATATTTTAATATTATTAAATAATATTTTAATAATATTTTAATATTATTAAATAATATTTTAATAATATTTTAATATTCGTAATAGTAGAGTAATTTTATAAATGTTCGAATTTGCTATGCATAAATCAAAATTCATTCGCGATTATCTGTCATTTTCAAGCAAATTTTTCCCTTTAGCGAAATATTAAACATTTTGTAAATATATACAAAAGGAGTTTTTTTTTAAAGGAGTACATGCTTTTTTGCGCATAAAAGGAAAGTGAGTAGGATGAGGATGGAGAGGCTCTCCATACGTAGTAATCTCCACGTGGTGAGATCTCCCGGGCAATCATCATTATTTGTATACAGCTGCGCAAAATTTCAATTATGCAAGATAGTATTAAATGTATGTTTCTTTAAAAAAAAAAAAAAAAACAAAGAATGTAATATGTAGGCTTTTTCATAAAAAGCATGTAATTATAAACATTTTATATTTTAAGTCACTTTCCTGCTCGTTACGTGATGTAAAAACATCTTAAAATAAAATGCATTTTGACAGTAGGTGCTTCAAGCTTTAAAGTGAACCTACGTTTATTATTGTATGATTTGTTTTTATAATAGTTTAAATATTTACGCTATTATAATGGTTTATATATATATATGAAATATTTAGTGTCCAAATACAATCACTGCATTTTAAGATTATATTGAATCTGTCCAAAACAACCGATCAGATCAGCATTCCTTTCACAGAAATCCTACCCATCCCTTATTATACTTATTGCTACAAACCGGTTCTCACTTAATTCACAATGGATTGAGAATCTTCACAGGAAAGAAGTTTTGCAGGAATTTCCTTCATTATTATGAAAAATACGATAATTATTTTAACAATTCTATTCAGTGAGTAAACTTCTTATTTTGATTATGAAGAATTCCTATATACTATCCTAATCATAAATCATAAGTAATAGAAAATTATAACATAAAATATATTCTTATGCTGTTTTGACATGTGCATATGTAGAGTGACAGTAGTGATGAAACAATATTTAAATGTACCAGGTATTTTGCTGGATCACGTGAAATCTGAATGCAGAACAAATCAATTTCAGTGTGATAATGGACAATGTATTGCAAAACGTGGTCGATGCAATGGTATACTAGACTGTACAGATAATTCGGATGAAACATTTATTCAGTGTGGTTCAATCATGTAAGTTGCAAGTTTAAAGAAAAATAATTGCATAAATATTACATTACAATTACATATCAATTATCTTGTAATATTATTGTAATTGCAATTTATAGTTTTGTTTCCATAGTGATAGTAGAAACTAATTCGCTAATTAATTACGTACTTCTATTTTAAATATTTGTAGCTGCTCGAAATTCTCCTTCCGTTGCAATTATGGTGCCTGTATTGATAGTAATTTAAAATGCAATGGAGTTACAAATTGCGCAGATGGTTCAGACGAAGATTCTGAATTATGCACTGTATCTAGTACTACATCTATTACTTCAACAAGTTCAAGACCCCCACCTATTCCTAGCTTTCCAAATTTTAAATTTTGTTTTCCACCACCAAAACCACAAAATGGCTATTGGAAATTACACAAATTGTATTGTTGTAATGCACAAGATCAAGTATGTGATGACTGTGAGGTTTCACAAAATACATTATTCGTACCAGGACAAGAATTAGTATACATGTGTAATCCTGGCTATAAGTTAAGTAACAATGCTTCAACATTTTGTAATGGACGAGGCCACTGGATAAATATTCCACAATGTGAAGGTATGAAAGAAAAAATTGTAAACTTATATTATTTTATATGTAAACTGATACTATTTTATATGTTTATGTATTACAGAAATACACTGTAAAGAATTAGAATCAGATTCTACAAGTGTTGTGTGTATTCAGAATGGTAACTATGTGCCATGTTCGAATCTTGTTCCTGGAACAGAAGCAATATTAAGATGTCTTGATGGTTATTATAGAAAGGAAGATATTGGATCACTTCGAACTAAGTGTAATAAGAATGGTGATTGGTTTCCCCAGCCAATACAGTGCATTCCAGGTTCAATGATAAATATTTATATTAATCTTCTTTCTATCTCATTGCAAATTGATTTATTATAAATAAAATCAAGCTTATTACAGTTTTTGATGATAAATTATTCTCAGAAAATAAGAAAAAATAAAGATATTGATATTAAATTTGATTCGAAAGAAAAAAACCAGAAAAGTTACAGATTTTTGAAAAATCTAAAATCTAATATATTAATTATATTTGTACATATTCAATGAAATTTATATTATGATCTGTGTATACAAATATTAGTAAAAGTATTTTATATTAAAAGATTTATAAGTTAATTTGATACAAGTGAAAAATTTAGTATAATAAATTACTAACTTGATTAACAATATATATTAATAATTGATAAAACTAAAGATTTTCCTGATATAATAATTATTATTTATTTATTTAATTACATAATATATATATATATATAT